TTTAGACGGTTTTTCCTCACCTTTGCCCGTTTAAGGTTTTGGGCTTTCAAACCCCAGGAATTCCCCAGCCAGCTTGGCTGGCTGAGAAATTCCGGGAGTTGAAGTCCACACAAGCTTAAAGCGGCCAAGGTTGAGAAACACTGTTTTAGAGTAATATCTCCCATTAGGCTTCACTTGTGCAAGCTAAACATATTCAGAGCCCTTAATCATGGTTTATAAGATTTGATTTCCAGAGCCTGTTTCATCCGGATAGCTCTCATCTGAGTCCCCTCCAGTTTCTCCATATCCCCTTTAAGGGATGGTGTTCAATACTCCAAGGGTGGTCTAACCAGCACACTTTGCAAAGGAGTGATTACTTCTGGGGATCCAGTGTTTTTTATAATGCAGCTGAAGACTGACTCTGCTCCATTGCACTGCTTCTTCATGTTGACTGGTGCTCCACTAGTGCTCCCTAAATCTTTTATGTATAATTCAGCCCCTCTTGTACTTCTTTCTAAATGACAATAATGACAGTACAGTATTTTAAAATCACTGTCAAACTTGCATTATCACAATCTGTCTGAAAAACTGACCCAGTAAATTCTACTTTAGGAAAAGAAAAACTGATCCTCCCTTCTCCAGGCAATCAATTTGTTGTTAATTCCTAAACAAATTTACAAGAGGGAAATTGAGATATTGGGCAATATATTTTTGGCTAAGAGACCAAGGATCAGTTACAATAGTACAAGCTTAAGTTCCCAAGCTTAATCATTCTTTATACAGAATTTTTAAAAACTTGAGCCCATTTAGATAGTTGTATTTTTTTACTTTTGTTACCATATTATGTTTATAGAACTGCTGGATTTTCAAGCACAGTGAAATTTTTTTCTGATATTTCAAATCATAGAAGCATGTTCCCCCCTTTCAGATTTTTAATCATTTTATCTGATGAAAATGTTACAAAACTCCAAAGTTTGCATTTTTAGCATACTATAAACTTAAGGTGGATTTAAGCTCTTTTTTTTTTTCTTCTCTCTCTCACGGGAAATTGGCCTACTTTTACAACCCATTAATCAGGCAAAGTCAATGTAAGCAGGTGATGCCATGTGAAAAGAAGCTTTATTTCAGATTAAAATGGCTCCGCAGGAGTATTTTCTGAAGGTGCCGCCCTAAAATAAGATGGCGGCCCCTAAGTCGCGTTCGGTATCAGCAATCCAAGCCCTTTCAATTTCAAGATGGCGGTTGTCATCTATAGGCTGGTTCAGGTATGCCCTCCTCCAAGATGGCTCCCATATTTATCTTCAGACCGTCGGCTTCACGTGACCTATGAATTTCAAGATGGCGGCGCCCATCATGAAAGGCATGAGAGGTCAGGGCTGGGGCTTATGCACCGTCGGATACCGCCTGATGGGCCAGATGTTCCGGAGAGGTAGAAACTTTTGTCCTTTGCATTAAGATAAAAGCTAGCCCGTCGCAGTGAGCAGCTGCTACTGCAGCCAACACTCCCAGGGTTTTCTTTCATTCATGCAAGACTTTGGCCGTCTGTCTGGCACTCCCCGACTTACTCGTTTAAGGTGCTTCTGTGCCTTTCACAGGCGCGGGACCTGTAGAAATTCATTAGTAAAAATCTCTTCAGTCTCCATCAAAGGAAAAGCCGTTTTCTAGGTTGAATTTTCAGTCACGCTCCTGTTAAAGTTACATGCAGGATTTAAGATGAGGATGCATGGAAGTTTTTCTGTTAGTGGGATCCGTTCTGTTATAAACCTAATATCTTTTGGAGATTAAAGGATCTGATCCAACAGTACTTTTTGTTGAGGTGATTATCAGTTTACTTCTTTTAGTAGCGGGATTATTGGCAGAGCTCCAGGATTAAACAGGCAGAAAAGGAAAAGAGCGCGGCTTTTTCTAGCATGGAGAAAATGTGCATTTTTCAAGTGAATGTAGAAATTCGCAGCGTGAATTGAACTTGCTCATAAACGTCTTAAGTTTCACAGAGATTGTTTTCAAGTAAGCTTGCTTAGAGAGGTTGTATGAATATCAAAGCATTTTAACTAAATTTATGCAATAAACGGGGGTGGGGAGAGATACTTAAATATGTTAAAAATATGTTTATGTTAAAATATGTTATGTTTTATGTTAAAATATGTTTTTTAAAACTTTCTAATGCTAAACTCTTTTTTGTGCTGACAGATTTCTATTCTCACATAATTCATTACACAGTCAGATGTATTAGAAACTTATTTGGTGGGCAATTTAATTTTTCTCTGGTTTTGCTTTTTTACCAGTGGTTCGTTTGTTTATATTTTTGCTCCACTGTATTTTTGAAAACTTGCTCATTGCTTTGAGTAGCATTTTTACCTAGAAAGAGTATTAGAATCAGTAGCAACTGACACATCTATTCCCAATTAGCATATAGTAGATATCCTTCAAAAACTGCCCTGGAAGCAGGTGGCCACTTACAGTGTTCTGCACTATTGTT